AGAGAGAGAGAGAGAGAGAGAGAGAGAGAGAGAGAGAGAGAGAGAGAGAGAAAGAGAAAAAGAGACTCACCACAAACATTGACAGGAGCCTCTACCTCTAGCAGCGCCGGTTGACTCAACAACACCCCCCTTGCCTCTTCCAGGAGTCTCTCCATGTCTGGGATGTTCACCATTAGCTGATTGCCGGGGATGTCTTTGGCTGAAAAGGTGTTTTTTTTTTTTATTGATCGATTGATTGATTGCTTGATTGCTTGATTGATTGATTGAGTGAGTGAGTGACTGGGTGAGTGGGTCAGTGAGTGAGGGATTGGATTGATTGATTCATTGATCGATCGATTGATTGATTGATTGATTGATTGATTGATTGATTGAATGATTGATTGACTGACTGGCTGACTGACTGACTGACTGATTGACTGACTGACTGACTGATTGATTGTTTGATCGATTGATCGAATGATTGACATATTGGAAGGGGGGGGGGGGTTGGACTAACTTTTAAAGGACGTAACAATAGCATGCTGTAATATGACCGATCAGCAGCAGTCCAAGGCAATGTTGCAGCATATTTCAAACAATAAAACAGCTCAGAATCAGAAAGAGGAATTTGTGTATTTTATAGTTAGCATGTTGTTGCTTTAGTTTTACCAAGAGTTTAACGTCACCTGCGACTCAATAAGGTCATATAAGTGCCGAATTCCGAACATTAGAAATGTTACAAGAGAGTAACAAACACAAAAAAAGGAGGAGGAGGAGAGAGAAAGACGATGGTTTTTTTTTTTATAGGAAAGAACGAACAAACCACACCAGAGCACCCGCCAACTACCCACATGTTGTTTGCTTGCAATGTAAAGTTTCTCCATATAAAAAAAAGAAACATACTTGAAAATCAGCACGAATAGCGAAGTTGTACATGTACTATAAACAGGGTGTCTTCAGCCGGTGTCTTTGCGCAAGTTTTTTTAAAGTTAGTTTTAGTAGAGGTTTTACGGCGCTCGCAACTGCATAAGGTCATATGAGCGCCAGAAGATTAGAGGTGTTACAAGAGAGTAACAAACATAAAAAAGGAGGGGAGACAAGGACGACAGATGTCTGATAGGAAAGAAGAAGCAAACCAAACCAGAGCACCCGCCAACCACCCACTTTGCGCAAGTATATATTACATGTATAAGCAATACAATAAAACCTATTAATTTATCTTTCGACTGTTGTTAAAGTCTTGTTTAATTAAGACAGCACCTCCACAAAAATTGCTAATACCTCTATAAATAAATAATCCGTGGTTTCATCGTTTGCGTCAGAAAATATCATTAAGTTAAACTCATTGAAGGGGGGCTCTCGTGGCCTAGAGGTTAAGGCGTTCACCTCTCATTCAAAGGTCCTGGGTTCGAATCCGGGTAGCGACCGAAACATTTTCTTCTCTAAAACTATCTCCTTTCACCTTCTTTCCTTATCTCTTGCAATATTTGTCGTCTGCTTTATTCTCCACTTTCTTCCCCCACCCCCTCACCTCCTTTATCCCCTCCACTGTGCTCATGACTCTTTTTGCAGCCTTTCTACAGCTACTCCTTGGCTCCTTCTTACTGCTGCTTCTCGGACAAGGACAAAAAATCTCGGAGGTCCCGTGTGCAAGTTGCCCACGATAAAGATCCCTAGGTGGTCCAAAATCGATAAGAGTAGGTTTCGGCCGCTACCCGGGCAAACTTCAAATTTCAAAATTTCCTACCAATAGGAAATGTTTGGTGCGTCCCGCGCGCTCATATGACCTTATGCAGTAGCGAACGCTGTAAAACACTTACTAAAAAAGCAACAAACAAAAAAACAACCGAAAAAAACAAACCCATGGATCAGGCAGTTTGGTCATTCGTTTTATTTAACGTTTGAACATGCGCAGCTTTCTGATACTTTTAAGAAAGAAGAACGCACGCTTTTCTGATAGTTTTAAAAATAAAGCACAACGGTTTTTCATTTCTCTTTTTTAAAAACCTGTTACATAAACAATGTAGATATCCTTGTGGTTAGGCTACCGGTCTTGTATTGTGAAATTGTGAGTTAGGGGATTTGAGCACCAGCTCTGCATTCCGACGTTTTGTCCTTGGGAAACGCACTTTTCACGAAGTTCCCATTTGACTCGGTCCTTTCGGAGAGGAGCGTTAAACTCGGAGGTCCCACCTCTTAAATAACCTAACAATAGTGTTGATAGGGGCGTTAAATCTATACCATTAATAATATAGGCAACGACATACAAACGTGTAATATATGCAAACTCGTGTTTCTGATTTGAGTAATAGCCTGTTATATTACGGTTCGAAATGTGCCACAGCACGCCCTTTAAGTCTGGTGCTGAATGAATGTGTAACGCGTCTGCTACGTCATAAAGGAGTTGACATAAAGACGTGACGCAGTAGATACCGGTACCTGGGTCTCCTAACAAACCAATAAACAAACTAATCGTTAAAAGAAGAAAGTGGCAGAAAAAAAGGAAAGAAACCAAAACAGGAGCCAGGAACAGACTTTTTCCAATAGTGTGTTGTAGCCTACGTCAGACACGACAAACTCACACGTACGAAGTTGTACATTGCACACAAATATAAGTAAAACGTGAATGCATATTGAGTATTGAGTACACATGTACATAACAACACTTTTAAAGACAACATATTTCTAACCCCTTTGGCTGTCAATTAACCGAACGCGTCTTAACATATAGATTGAACTGAGCCAAACAAATAAACGAAGAAACAAATAAACAAAACAAAAACAACACCAAAAAAGCACCATACTAAAAAATAAAGAAAGAAAGAATACAAAAGAAAGACGACCTGAAGAATAATTATTTTTCTGAAAGACATGTCTGAAGAAGGAACACACAACCTACCCCCAAGGAGGTAGTCAAGTATCCTGTCCACAGCTTGAAGGTTACTGTCTCTCCTCATGGTCAGTTCTTGTCTGGATAATCCAATGCTTCCGGAACAGGGGATCTCTGAATGGACACAGGCTATCGTACTTTCAGTGTCAGTCGCTGTAACTTTTGGAGCGGCATCAACCACAACTGTGTCATCTTCTTCCTCTCTCATTCCATCTCTGGTGGCAACATTCATTGTCCCACCAGCGTTTGGGCGGGCCAAAAGATTAAAGAGAGAGTCTTTTCCCTTGCCATTCTCTCTCCAATCTCTGACGTCAGAAGCTCCAGTGTTGTCGTCTGCTGCAGACGTCATCTTCCCAGTTTGCCGTTCCGCGGAGTTTGAGAGAGAATCAGAAGAGGAGCTCTCTCGGCTATTTTTAGAACTTTGACGTGAGACGTCATTATCACATTGTTGAGTGACGTGACCCTGTAAATGGAACTCTGTTTCCGTCATGTTTTCTGAACTGAACGTCCCGGAAGATAGGACCGCATTCCCAGCTGGGCCACTACTTAAATCACGACCTTCTCTTTTCTCGTCAGCGCTGGTTGAAACAAACGAGCATTGTCCTATCGCTTCATTTCCGCTACCGGAACGACCTTTCCACCCGGCATCCTCACTTTGGACGTCACCCGAGTTTGGAAGTCTTCTCAGAGAACTGTTCTCAGAACTCCGCTCTTCTCTACTGTACGAGACAGATTTACTTTCATCCGAGATTCCATCAGTACCTTCTGTAAAAATCCCACATTCGCCATTGCGCGATTCCTCCGTCTGTTCTCTCATGTTTGCCTGCACCTTCGTTAAAAAGCCGTCACTGTTTGGAGCACTTTGATCATGCGTCACAACAGATTTTGCAAGTACGACACTGTCATTGGTCGGCGTTTCTCCGCTTTCTCTCAACGCTTCTTGTTCCTCGTTCTTTGATTGGCCATCAGTCTCCGTAACGTCCCCCAATAAAATGCAACTTAACAATACCCCGACGTCTCCCATCTTAGAAAAGAAATCCGATTTGAATTGTCTGTAACACAGCGCCTCGTAATCCAACAGGTAACCCCAAAGAAGCTTAGCATAATAATAAGAATGATCATAAACACCAAAGTGTAGGTACCGACGCATTTTTTCGTTATCTTGTCAAGTGTTTGATCACGTGGTTCCTATGCCGGCATTAGGTCACATGACTCACAACGCGAGGCACGTCAAAAACTGTCAACACATTGCCGTCATTTTTAAAAGTACAGTATATGCAGTTTTTACAATTTTACAGGAAGACCAATAACAGTTAAGAAAACACCATTTACGCTAAAGATAGTTAATATTGGAAGTTATTATCAAACTTTAATTGACTTGGGATGTTTGCAAAGAGTTTGTTTTCTTTGTAACAGCATTCAGTTGTTGTTTTTCTTTGGCTCACCTGTTACACTGTAAAAACTGCATATACTGTACTTTTAAAAATGACGGCAGCACAGAGTAGGGAGATACATGTAGATATATTTATGTTTGCAGTTACAACCCCCCCCCCTCTCTATCCATCTCTATATTCTCTCTCTCTCTCTCCCTCTCTCTGTGTCGCAGCATCAATCCATTAAAATATCTATCTATCTATCTATCTGTCTATCTATCTATCTATCTATCTATCCATCTATCTATACCCGTGTATGTGGTATTATTGTAACGCTCTTCGCCCTGTTGTCTTAACCTGTTCCTGAGAAACCCAGCAGTTGTTCTGAAGACTCTTCACAAACTTGAACTGAACAACTCCAAGATCGGTATATTGCTTTACTAGAAGGGAAACAATCTCCCCCCTCCCCCACCTCTAGAAATAAAACAGCTCCCTCCCCCTCCCCCAAACACACACACACACACACACACACACACACACACACATACACACTCACATACATACACACACGCACACGTACACACGCACACTCAACCACAAGAAAAAAAATAATGTAAGTTCACATTATCTCTTATTTATTACATTAGTTAACCGTCACAACTTGTCCTATATATTATCTATTCACACGTTTTAAACATCGATGCCCG